TCTTCACCCTGGCCGTTCTTGCTATGACTGCTCTGATCCTCCCTGGCCACTGTGGGCGTCTTTTGCTTCGCATCAACACACTATGGTAAGCTGTTCTTTTACGTTCAACACACTCGAGACTTTACATTCAAAGTGCATTTCTTGCAGGCGATGTATAATTTTCTATTTGGCAGGCAGGCTCTTGCTTTGTAACTGGAGGTGTTTAGACCAGAGTTTGACACACAGGCACCTACGAGCCAGATCTGGAGTGGGGCTTGATTTTGTGGCCATGAGCTGAGAATGCTTTTTACACGTTTAAAGAGTTGAAAAAAACCTTGTAAATATGTAGCCAAAAAGCCTAACGTAGTTAGAGTGTGGCCCGTGACAGAACGGGTTTATGAGTCCCTGTTTAGACTGTGTATTTCATGTGATAGTCGACAGGTGTGTGTAAGTCTAACTAAGCTCCCCTTATTTAAATCCTTGGGAGTAGTATTTTGGATTCTGGATTTTATTAATTTATTTATTCTTAGATTTTGGAATATCTACATACATAATGAGATGCTTTGGGGTGAGACCCAAATCTAAACATGAACCTCGCTGACAGAGTGGTTCAAGAGGCGAAGCCCTGGGCTCAAGCCCCAGTACTGCCAAAAAACATTACAAACATGAGCTTCCTCTGTATTCTCTGTACACTTTATTCACAAAGCCCATGCAATTTTGTATGATGTTTTTTGTGCATCTCTGTCTTCACTCCCACCTGTCACGTGAGGTCAGGTGAAGAATTTTCCACTTGTGCTATTATGTTGATGATCAAGCAGTTTCAGATTTTGCAAAATTAAGTTTTCATATTATTGATCCTCACCTTGTGTTTCTGTCTCCTTGGTTCCCTGTCCCTTTTCTTCTGATACTGCCTTTTTTGGATCGAGTTTGTTTTTTATTTGTTTCTTTTTATGTGTGAGCTAGTATATTAGTGTTAGCTTTTGTGTGTGGTGGGGGGAGACTGGGGTTTGAACTCTGGTCTTTGTGCTTGCAAAGTAGGCGCTCTAATGGTTGAACCACATCTCCAACTCATTTTGCTCTGGTTATTTTGGAGATGGGATCTCAAGAACTATTTGCCCGAGAAACCGCTATCCTCCCTATCTCAGCCTCTCAAGTAGCGGGGATTACAGGTGTGAGCCAATGGCGCCTGCTGCTCTAACTCTTGTGATTATGGGAGTTGCTGTAGAGCTAATGGTTTGTGTGCTGACAGTTTTACACCAGCACCCTTCCCCTCTTCCCTTCTGTCCTCTTGTGCTGACTTCCTGCACTTTTCTTATGTATATGTTGGTTCACTGATACTGTTTTCCTGTGGGTGGCCATTGATCCTTTTAAATATTTAAAACTTGAAAATGAAGGTTTTATAACTGGCTGTGTAGTTTCCATTTCTGGTGTGAAGAGCCAGGTTCCTGCTGTGGATTAAAGGACTTTCTTAGTACAGATCTGCTGGGGATAAATTCTTTCAACTCACGTGTGTCTGAAAACATCTTTATTTCCTCTTCATGTTTGGCAGGTAGCTTTGCAGGATATAGAATTCTAGGTTGATAGGTTTGTTTGGTTTTGCACCTGTACTTTAAAGATATCGCTCAATTATTTTCTAGTTTGGGTTGATTTGACATGAAATTTTTTGTAATATTCCTTCTTGTTCCTTTACATGTATTTCTTTCTCCTCTTTCTTTCTGCCTTTTTAGGTTTCCTGTTTTGCTTATTTATTGTTTTCAGCAACTCCTAGGGGGACTCTATTTCATAATGTTTTGTGCTTGAGATTTTTTTTAACCACTTGGATCTGTGTATTTATAGTTTCCTTCAAAATTTGCCAGGTGCCAGTGACTCACACCTGTAATCCCAGCTACTTGGGAGACAGATCAAGAGGATCACGGTTCGAGGCCAGCCCAGGCAAATAGTTCTCAAGGCCCTATCTTGAAAAAACCCAACACAGAAAAGAGCTAATGGAGAGGCTCAAGTGGTAGAGAGCCTGCCTAGCAAGTATGAAGCCCTGAGTTCAAATCCCAACACTGCCAAAAAAAATTTGGAAAATTTTCCCATGTTATTTCTTCAGATATTTTTCCTGTCTCCCACCCCTTCCGCTCCTGAGTCCTTAGTATCTTGAAATTATCCCAGTGTACCGATGTGCTGTAAATACACTTTCCAGTATTCTCTGTGTGTTTCTTTTTGCACAGTTCCTGTTGTGATGACTTTAAATCGATTAGTCTTTTTTTCTACAGTGTATGCTCTGCTGTTACTGCCAACGTGTGCTTTTTATCTTGATTTAGTTCTTTTAATATCTTCTGTCTCTGACATGTCTAAATCTTCCTGCAGTTTCCTGGGTAGAATACTGGGTAGTAACGGCCTTTCTTTTTGGCAGTCCTGGGGTTTGAACTCAGGGCTTTGCACTTGCTAGGCAGTGACTCTCCTGCTTGGGTCACAGCTCTAGCCAGTCATGGCTTAATGTCCTATCTGCTGCCACCACGTGTGTTATGACCAGTGCCTCCCTCCTTCTCTGCGTGAGTTATAAATTGCATTACAGTTGGGCTTCATTTCTGCGTATACCAAATGGTCGTGATCGTCCAGAATTTGTACGTTGAAGCCTAAAACCCAAAATGATGGCATTTGGAGAGGGGCCGTTGGGAATGGAATTAGAACCCTTATAACAGACCCCCTCACCCCTTGCACCGTGTGAGGACGCCTGAGAAAACAGCCATCTCCAAACCCAAAGACCTCCTGCAGTTAAGTTACTTAGAAGTAGAGTCTTGTGCTTCTCGTCTTGCGCCCATGCTTCCCTACGTCAAATGAGGGCCATGTTCCATCTGTGGCTACTGCTTCCCATGATGGAGGGAAGGCCCTGGGAAGGTGGACACTTGAGGAGTGGGGGCCTAGTTAGAGGAAGTAGGTCACTGGGGAGGGGGGCAGGCCCTTGAAGGGAATATTGAGACCCTGTGTTCTCCCACCTGCCTTCCTGGCTCTTTTGCCCCACCTTGCTCTTCACCATGATGCCCTGCTCCGCCACAGGCCCAGAAACGACAGAGGCATGTAACCATGGGCTGAATCCTCTGTAACCTTTCCTGCCTTTATGTTGACGTTCTCAGGTATTTTGTCCCAGAAAAGGAAAGCAAGCTGACATACAGAGCAAAGAGGAAGCAGGGAATGTACTCTTGTGAGCTCCAAGCCCCACTCCTTCAAAGCCTTCTCAGTGGTCTGTCACTGGCTTTCACCATTCTCTGTCGGTATAGCATCCCTCAGCATCCAGTGGGAATGGGTTCCAGGACCCCCTGTGAGCATAGGAAGATCTTGGTTCAGGCCACCCCAGGCATAAATGTAGACTCTATTGAAAACTCAAGCCAAAAGGGCTCTGGCAATGGTTCAAGTGCTAGAGTGCCTGCCTAGCAAACGTGAACCTTGAGTTCACCACCCAGCACCACAAAAAAAAGCCTACCTTTAAAATAATTAATACGATTTTATCATACGTAAAGCAAAATTACCATTTACAAAACAGCTGGTCCCACATTTGTGTTTTTAAAAACAATTTGATGCAGAAAAAAAAGGTGGCACTGTGCAATATGAATCTTGGTTTTTCTGACTGGTGAATTTATGAGTGTATTTTTATTTCCCTGCATTTGCAGACTTTCTGTCATAAGCATACATTGCCTTTGTAGTAAGGAGTGGGGTTCTTTTCAGTTTGTTTGAATGTTTGCTAAAAACTCACCTTTCCATGCTCCCAGAGAATGGACACCTTTCTCCACAAAAGGCCATTTACTAAACGCCTCAGGTTCTACATCCCACATGGGGACCCAGCATAAGAGTGGCCGTGCAGAAATGAGTGGATGTGGCCGTGTTCCAGGGAGACCTGACTCACACAGAGGTGGCAGTGCACCTGGCCCTAGGGCGCCGCCTTCTGACCACCACCCCAGGCACCTGCAGGCCTAGATTAACTGACAGCCACGGCCCGCTGTTCTTAGTCGTGGTAAAACCATTCTTTTCAGGCCATTGTACCATTTGTTATTTTGATTTTTTCTTTCCCCGTTCAAAAACAATGGTCTTGGCAGTTCTTAGGGTCCTGGGCCTTTGGTCGCAGAAAAACCAAATGCTTACTGATGTTATTTTCTTGGTCTGAAAGAGTCATGTCTGCAGTAAAATATAGAAAAGACAGACCATGAGGCCTGGGTTTTTGTTTTTCTTTTTCTTTGGGATGCTGAGCTCCTGAAAGGCGAGGCAATCCTAAGGTAGGCAGGTGGAATCTGCAGTGACCCCCATGCCTGCTTTAAGAAGTGGTCTCAAGTATTTTCTCTTGAAGTGCTCTTAGCCCGAGTCACCAGGTGGAATCTAACTGTGTCCCTCTCTGTCACCAATTATGTCATGAGTTAGCTCTTGGTCTGGGGTCCTGCAGACAGTGTAAGGTGACAGAGAATGAGGGCAGGAGGAACTTCTGGGCTAGCATGGTGCACTTGCGACCATGAGGAGTGGGTGGGGCTCATACAGGAACCCGGCTGTTGCAGACTCCAGTGTGGAGCTCAGGTTGACTTTGCAGGGAACTCCTGGGCTCAGCAGGGGCCACTGAGCTTTCTTCAAAACAATGCCTTTCCTCTTTCCACCCGTTCTTCCTCTTCCTCACTGAGGGAGCCCTATGCCACAGCTGGCACCACCAGGCACTAGCTGATGGGTTCTCATCCACCTGGTGCTTGAGACTCCCAGGCAGCACCAGGTGTGCCAGGGCAACCTTCTCCGTGATTCCCTTCACCACACAGGCTCACCACCCATATACCTTGGAATAGGCTGCCCTTCCTATACACAGGGCTTGGACCCCTGAAGGGGTGTTGTCACAGACATCCCTCCATGGGCGCTCAGTGTGGGGTTCATGTAATCTGCTGTGGGTTTTTCTGTGCCCACTACTGGAGCAGATGGCTGATCTCTTGACTGTATAACCAGCCGAGGGCTCCCTGCACCTGCTCCTCATCTCACCACTGTGGACATCCCCCTTCTCTCCCCAGAGACCGCAGGTGTTCCAGTGTCTGAAATTTCCGGGCCCTTCTCCACAGACGACATAGCCAGCAACTGTGTCCCGGCCCCAGCTTTGAACGAGCCCATCTTGTGGATTGTGTCCTATGCACTGATGAGTGTGTGTGGGGTCATCCTTCTTGTCCTCATTGTCCTGCTGCTGGTCCCCTTCCGATGTCGGCATGCACCTCGTGACCCCGAGGTCGTCAATGATGAGTCCTCTCTGGTCAGGCATCGCTGGAAATGAAGAGCCATGTCTGAGCTCTGGTGACCTTGAACTCAGCTCTTCCAAGAGTGACATGTGTGGGACGGCAGGCGTGGGATATGGGCCAGACTTCTTCCTCTGTCTGTCAGTCTGGAATCTCAGTTCTTTCTCCAGATGCCTTCCGGATTCACTGTACCTTGATTATTCTTGATTTGCAAGTTTCCAATTCTCTCCTACTTCCAAGAGAAATGTTAATAAAAAACACCTCGTTGTAAACCAAAACAGAATTTGGCTTTAGGCTTCATGGGACTGGTTATGCCAAACTGTCTAGGTATGCCACCCTCTATAACCTCTGGCAAAATGGGGGCATTTGGTTTATAACCACGTTAGCTTACAGGAAGTTTTTTGTATTAATCATAGTTGAGTGTTTTGTGCCAGGCCCCAGCCTGGGTCTGAGTGGTCCAAGAAGGCTCACAGTGTGCTGCCAGGAGGAGCGCCTGGGCCCCACAATGGAACCATTCTGCCCTCTTCTGAGCCAGGAAGAGCCGAAGCCCTCTGTTGGGCCTCTGAGCTCTGACTGGAGCTCGCCATCCCCCCAGTCCTCACCAGCCTCTGCTGCAGGTGCATGGCCTTCTCCCCTTCAAGGTGGGAAGAAAACCTGCTCTTTTGTACCGATGCTCCTGTGGTTTTATGGGTGTAAAGGTAAAAACACTACCTCTTTTGTGACTTTTCCCAGGGTCCCGAGCATGGGGGTGGGGGGTACAGGCAGCGTGTGAGACGTAACAGGCGCTGAACTGTGTGACACCCCGCCCTCCATGCCCCAGAAGTTCTGTCGCCAAGCTGGTTGTGGTTGAATATGATGACTCTTCCTTCAGGCTAATTAATAGTGTTTTAATGAGGAAAACAAATTCTATTTCACTAGCGTAATTGTTTCTTTTTCCAACTCTTCTCCGGAGCTGAGTTGATGATTATCCTTCTGAGAAAGAGAGAAGTAGCCAAATGCCCATGCTTCTGACCAGCTGTCGGGGAAGGAAGACTTGGAGTAATTTCCACTTTTCCTCATGCTTGGAAGCTACATTTCCCCTCTTGGAACCCCAAGGCTCAAGTGCACCCTCCGAATCAGCTGAAGGAAACTTGCTTGGCAGTTGACCTGCACGGTTCTTCCCGCTGGCGTGTTTGATCTTTGGTGTTGGGTGTTCAGGAGAAGCATTTGGGGAAACCCCACTTGCTATCATTTATTTGAGGCCTTTGCCAAAGAAAAGTGGAAGCCGTTAACTTGCTGTAGCCAGCCCTCTCTGATCTGACGTAATCCTAAGGATACAAAGCCAGTCTTCCTTTTCTCTTGTTTGTACGCCAGGTTCAGTGGTCACTCCGCGTTGCTCTCGGGACGGGTTGCATATTAAAGAGCGTTCCACAGGAAGTGTAGGTGTCCACTGCAGCAGGAGTGTTCGTGGTGTTCACACAATCTTCATGGGGATGGTTCAACCATCTGCTCTGCTCACTGGGTCAATATGGGTCACCACCACATTGAGAAGTACATCCACGACTGTGCCAAAGAGATGCAGAGGCCACCCAGGTTTGTCATAGTGAAGTCCAGAGGACTCTGCTGGGAGATCCTCGTGGGGGAAGAGCTGAGCTGTGTTGCAGAAAGAAGATGAATGTGAAGGGGAAGAGGAGGACTCTGTTCTTTCACACTCACTGACATGTCTGGCCTCCTCTAGTTGAGCGCAAAAAACTCAAATGCATTTCAGAGTAAAAAATCTCGAAGTGGAATTCACTTCCTGTCCCATGGACTTTTCTGTTGACTCCAATTTTGTGAGCACCTTGTATGGAAGTGAAGAAAGTTCCCCCAGACTGTGCCTTTCCTTTGCTGTGAGAAAACTGAATGCCTGAAACAGGAGGGAATTATGAGGTGTGGCCTGGTCCATCTCACTGCTACTTCACACAGACGTCATCTGTCTGCTTCCTTTTATTGCGCCAGGTTTCTGAGGTGGGGAGGTTCCTGCTGGGCCAGGTTAGCAGTGGCTGCTCTCAGATACCAGATACTGACAAGCCAGGTCCCCAGGGAGGGCAGTTGGATGAAATTGGCCACAGTGCTTCATTTTTCTATCAAATGTCTATCAGATTTCTCTACTGTGGCATCTCAGGTACCACTGGATGTGATATTTTAATGGGGATGCTTAAATTACAAGGGCATAATTTAGCAACCAAAATGGAACAGACAATTGAATTTGGGACATTTTCCTGGCATGCATTACCACTAAAAATTGGACTCTGGGATCAAAACTGCTAGAGTGACACCCACCTCCTGGAGTTAATGTAAATGGAGACTGCTTGGCAGACCTTCAAGGAGGTTCGCTTTCAACAGGAATGGAAGTAGCAACCCTTGAGAGTGTCATTTTTACCTTGTAATACACCATGGAAAACGCTGGAAGATGGTCCTTGCCTGGAAGATGCAATTTAGCGTTGTCATTGTCAGAAACCTTGTCAGCTCTCTGATGAGAAATGGATGTTTCCACGTGAACAGTCTTATTTTAACTGGATGATGCTTTTTCTTCTTGGCGACTTATTTAGAAGTCTGAAATGAAATCTTGCCTTCAAATAATTGAAACTATTTATTGAAAACTAGCTAGAAACAAGATGGAGGTTGCTTTCTTCCTCCCGTGACTGGCGTGTCAGATCTCCTGGGAACACTGTACACTTTCTTGCACTTCTTCTGAACCACAAGCAAGTGCCTGGCTTTAAAGGAAGCAGGTGCCCTGCATATGGTCAAGGGGAATTGCTTTCCCTGGCCACATCCCACTTCTGAACATTGGAAGCACTTGATCTGATTCATCCCGAAACCCAGAGGTTTTGGTAAGAGATAGACTTGAGGCAGTAACTGACCAGCATCATGGAAGGAATTCCCATCCAGACAGCATTAAGGACTCCCCAGAGCTCTGGGTAGTAGATTTTGAAAGGCAGCTGTGATTGGGGGATTCCATTCTCTAATTTAAGAAGTGAAGAGTAATTACTTAATTATTTAATTAAAGACTAGGATTTGCTAAATTCCTCTCACCATGTCCCTGCTTGTTGAATCCTGGTCCTGACCTCCTGCCACTCCATGTCCCTGGAAGAAATCAGTGCCCAACAGTGTGTTCTGTAACCAAGAATAATTGAGTTTCACACACTTTATCCTTGTTAGTGGAAACCAAATAACTGGGTGGTACCCCAGTGCACTTTCTCTTGTACAAACTTATTAGAATTGATTATAGAACTGTTCAGAGGCAAAACTTGCCACTGAGATTTTTTTTAAAGGAAATACAAATGCTATAAAATGTAAAATTGCTCTGAGGGATCCCAGATTTTTAGTGCCAGGGAAACCCCACACAACAGAAATCACTGCTTATCTCTAGTGGATTTTTGAGCTTCTGATCATTTACCAATTAAATAACTTGGAAAATACATGTTGGGTGAGGGTGGAAATGACAATACAATTAAAAGTATGCTGAAAACCACGCAGGATTAACTCTTGGAAAATGTACCAGAACTCCTGATTTCTTTTCCCATTATTGTTGCTGAATCTGTCAGAGACGTGTTTTATGTTACAGTGCTTCAAGCCCCCAGACTTCCAGAACGTTCGGCTGGAATCATGTCAGACGAAGTCAGCCCTGACAGTGAAAAAATGTGGGCTGGTAGTTGACACATTACATTGGCCAAGACAAGCAGAGATTGGTTCATTCCAGCAACAGAAAGTAAAGGATTGTGGGGACTTCTAGAATCTTGGAAGAGGGAGGGCAGGAAGGATCCAGAAGAGAGGTCATAGCCCTTAGTCTGCAGTTCCACAAGGGTCTGAACAGTGTGACATCCCCAGGTCAGCAGAGGCAACTCAATTCACTCCAGGTATTTTGCACAGCTTACATTTTTAGGAATTTCCCAAGGAAAACTTAGGTTGCTCATTGGTCACAGAGGAGCCATTGGGCAAAGGGAAACTTGCTTTGTGGCATTTTTCAAGCACGTCTGTTCTAATACAGCTAGAGGTGCCTGAGCTCCTGAGCGGTCCCCGGGCCTCCGGCTGCAAGTTTAAGGCTCTGGGGAGCTCGCAGAGCAGAGTCAAGAGCTGGGGGCCAAATGGGCTTGGCCAAGTTACCTCTGAGGTTGAGCACGTGGGAAGGACTTGTGGCAGCTGTTCTGTGTAGTCTGATTGAGAACCAGAACATCCGGGGCCAAACCATTCCTTTCCTGCTCTGCGGGCCAGGCCACCCACTCTGAAAGTGCAGCAGGCTCTGACCACAGTCCCTCTCCAGTGCCAGGGACACATCTAGAACAAAGAGCTTGAGGGGGACCAGAGTCTCCCTCCTGCTGCTGCTGTCAGCCTCTGTGTGCTGCTCCCCAAGCCAACTCTGAGCCTCCTGCACGCCCAGCAGGTTCAGGTCCAGGAGGTCCCAGCATGCAAGAGCACTGGTACTCTGCATTGCAGCAAGCTTCCTGGTGGGTCCTGTAAAGACAAGCCACAGCTTCTAGACTGGCAAGTGCCCTGGGTCAGTAAGTGTGTGACCCTGCAGGTGGGGGAAAGCCAACGCTCCTAGTGACGTCTGTGTGTCTGCAAAGCCGAGTCCGTTACAGGTGTGGTAAGAATTCCTATCACTCAGTAAGTGCAGTGTCTTCTCCTGTGCCTGTGAGCTTCCATGGGGTTTCTTATAATCTAGACATTATACCCGGATGTCCACAATTTCTAAACTGCATTGCCCTCTGTCAGTTTTACAGCACACCTGCCCACCAAGAGGACACAGTAAGTAAAGGTGAGACCAACAGGCACCACAAAGGATTGTGATAAACTCAAATCCAGCCCATGGCAAGAGCCACTGGAGGGCACCTGGTCTCTGATGCTCAAGTGCTCTGCTGTCCCTTGATCCAGCCTTCAGGTGGCCACAACAGTGACTAAGAATATTTCCACATAGCGTTTTAGGATGCTAAAATACCTGTCTCACTTCTGGAAATCACAGCAGCAGTGTCATCAAGGGAACAGACAGCCCTCCTTTATAATTTTGTATAAGATCACCTGGGAAAAGCACAGAATGCCCACACAGGGCAGTGGGCGTGGAATAGGTTGCCACCATGGGTTTGTAACTATATGCTACGTAATTACAAACGATGGATTTGTCTTGATTAAGTTTGAGCACAGCAGTGGTCGCACTGATGTCTCTAAAAGAGACCAGATACCTGGAGCCCCATCCCACACATCTCCTGGAAAGCCACACCTGCTTTGACACTGGGGCGTCAGTGGGGTGAAGAAGAGGTGGGCTTTTGTTCACCATGCAGACACAGACGCCATGAGGAGACAAGTGTTTGCAAAAGGCGGGCTTCGTGTTTTCTGTAAAATGCTATGCCACGGACAACACTGAAAA